GGTCTAACAGTCAGTACTGACTGGTCCCAGTCTGTTTGACTGGTCTAACAGTCAGTACTGACTGGTCCCAGTCTGTCTGCTGGTCTAACAGTCAGTATTAGCTGGCTGTGGTTCTCACCTGCTGGGCCTGTGCTGTGTTCAAGGCCCCCTGCCTGGACGTGAGCTCTGCAGGGATGGGAAGGCTCCATGCCTCCTCAATACAAGGAAGCATTTTACTCTTATTCTGCAGACTACCTGGGTGTAGGTTACACAACTGAGCCTAGGAGAGATTGTGTAAAATACAAACTTTAGTGCTGATCTTGGCTTGAACAAGAGAGGCACTACAAAGTCTTACTGCTACAGCTGGTGGAAGTAAAAACAATTGAGCAACATGATAAATGAATTAATGAATGTATGCATTAAAATCAATGAAAGGAATAAAAACACAACAATATGAATCATTATTCATATCTCTGTGGTCACAACTTAAAATCACAGAAGCTGAAYGCACACACTGTAAACTCCACAACATGTGCAGGGTGTGTTTGATGGTCACACCTGGCTGACCYACCTGCAGCAGTTTGATGCGCTGACTGAGGGCAGCAGTGTTCACACAGGCCTTGCTGCGTGTAGCATTAATGTAGCACTTCATAGCATCATGCAGCTGACCGCAGGACTCGTACAGAGTCCCCAGGTCCATCCAGGCGGCGGCRTGGCTGTGGTCCAGCTGAACGGCACAGATGTAGGCCTGCAGGGCATCCATAGGCTGGTTCTGCTGCTGGTACAGCACACTACAGGGAAAACATAAACCCTTCGACATGACTCTACTGTAAATTAAAAACATGTTGAGCACAGCTGATGAAGCTTTGCGTTCAGTGATGAACAGGACGGTTTGTTCTTACCCTATAGAGCACCAGGTGTCAGCACTGGCCTCGGACTTATCAATGGACTGACGGTACGAGATAAACGCATCCTGAACCTTCCCAATACTGGAATAACACCTGGTGATGAGAAATAAACAAACACAAATGTCATTTAAATTTCTATTCCTTTATTTTTGGGCTTTTTGTTATTTATGTGAACTTATCTTGAATCATTTTTTACGTGGTTATTAACRGTACTTTTAAGAGATGAATATTGTTTAATGTGAAACTAAGTGAAGTTGCATCGTTTTTATCGCTTTACGTATTTAGTCCAATTAAAATGTTTTTCATTTGTGAGCCATCACATCGAAACCAGGATTAAGTCTAAATGTTGTATCAGGAGAAAAAGGCAAATATATTGTTTTGACTAAACTGTTAACAAAAATTGCATTTTGTCAAAATATAATGAATAATTATCAATGTATCATTTGAATGAAATGTCTGAAATTTAATCATAAAACAACATTTTGAAGCACTTTTTTGAGCTGTGGCAACAAAAAAACAGATTTTGAGGAAAAA